CTGGGACTATTATACTCAGGAGGGAATGAAGATAATGTCTAGTATGGTAGTTGCTCTTACCATGGGGATGAAAAGGTGCATTAAAAAGGTCTGTTAATTATGATAAAATGGTCTTAGAGGGTCTTAAGAGAGTACAGAAGAAAATCCAGCTTTGTTTTGTAACCTGTTAGCAGAGGCCTTCTGCAAGAATACTAATATAGATTCATCTTCCAGGGAGGGAGAGGCACTAATGGGACATTATTTCATCTGTCAGTCAGCCCCAGATATTTGGCATAAGCTACAAAAACTTCAGGTAGGGCCACAGACACCTATGACTCAATTGCTGGACATGGCCTTTTCTGTATTCAACAATTGGGAACCAGAAGAGGGACAAAAGAGAAAGGCTAAGATTATAGCTGCCACAATTGGCAATGCTTTAAACCCACCCAGGTCGTCTAGGGAAAAACTCAGGGACAGCCAAAAAAAGAGTTCCTGTTCAAGTGCAAGAAGACTGGACACAGGGCACAAGATTGCATCAGGTGTCTCCCTAGGCCCTGGTCCACATGTGAGGCGGTAATGTGCCTGACTTACAGCACTGGAGTTTTGACTATCCATGCTCCCAGAGAGGGGCTAGGCCATCCAGAACCCTCATTTCCTGCTCTGACTGAAGAGCCCCAGGTGAACTTGCAATGCCCTTGTTCATGGACATCAGCATCTCTTACCCAAGGAACCCTGGGTAAACTTAAATGTCATGAATGAGCCAATTCAGATGCTTTTGGATACAGGGGGAGCTCATTCTGTTTTGTTTTCCTTCTCTAGAAAACTCTCCTCTAGGTCTAAAGCCATAATTGGGGTCGATGGGACCTCGTAGGCAGAGATTCTTTATTCCTGACCCGAAGTGTCATTTTGAAGGCCAAATGTTTAATTGTGAGGTTTAATTGTCCCACAGTGTCCTGCTCCCTTGCTAGGAAGAGATTTACTCGCTAAACTGGGGGTAATTCTCAAATTCCGGCTAAGGCCAAAATGGATTTTACTTGTTGAGACTACACCAGGTCTCCCTGACCAAATTTGGCAACAAGTGGATCTTGCTGCATGGTATAATGGGATACCTGGTAGGGCAAATTCAGCTATGCCAGTAGTTACAAGAATAAAAGACCCTGGCTGGTTTCCTAATTGAAAGCAGTATCCAATCAAAAGAAGAGGCATGTAAAGTTCTCCAGCATCTCAAAAGTTTTTCAAATATGGCCTTCTGAGGCCTTGTCAGTCCCCTTGTAATACTCCCATTCCTCTCGCAGCAAAGTCCTCAGGAGAATATCAGATGGTGCAAGACCTCCACCTCATTAATGAATCTATCATTCCAAACCATCCTCTAGTGACAGATTCATATACAATTCTCCCCCAAATGCCAGGGGACACAAATTGGTTCTCAGTCTTAGATTTAAAAGATGCATTTTTCTTCATCTTCTTACATCCAGACTCCTAATTTCTGCTTGCCTTGGAAAGGGAAAATCCCATTTCAAGAGAAAACCAGCAAGGGGGTGAAGGGTGCACAGGTAATGGGGAAAAAATAAGAACCAAGATACATCATGTACAGGTACAAGCACCCAATGATAAATGTAAATGTACTGTATACCTAAAATGTACCAATAAAAGAATTTAAGCAAAAAAAAGAGAGAGAAAACCAGCAATATACTTGGACGGCTCTCTCTCAAGGGTTTAGAGACAGTCCTCACCTTTTCGCTTGGGCACTAGAGAAAGACTCCAGGTACTTAAAGCTTAAACAAGGAACCATCCTATAGTATGTAGGTAATATTCTAGTTTGTAGCCCAAATCAGAAATTATCTAACTATAACACTGTACAGACGCTCAACTTTCTAGCTAAGAAGGAATATAAAGTCTCCTAAGAATAGGCCCAGCTATCCCTCCAAAAAGTTCAATATCTGGGATATAGTCCTACACCTGGGGAATGACAGCTGTCTAGGGACTGGATCCAGGCTGTGGTCTTGGGCCTCTTGCCACTGAACAACAACTTTGCTCATTCCTGGGGATGGCCAAATTTGTAGGATCTGGCTACCTAATTTTGGACAAAAATAACTGACAATGCTCTCAGGCACAGAGGATACCTGACTTAAGAAAACCTTTCATTCTCTCCGTATCAGAAAAGGGAAAAACTGCTTTGGGGGTCATGATTCAAAGGCTAGGGCAAGAACCCTGCTAAGTGGCATACTTTTCAAAGAAATTAAATGGAATGGCTGCTGGATGGCCACCTTGCCTGAGAGCAATAGCAGCTATAGCTGTACTAACAGAAGAAACTACAAAATTAACTCTGGGAAAGAGACCAGAAGTCCTGACACCCCAACAGGTCAGAGCTTTTCTGGAGACAAGGTTACTTGTGGTTAGGAGGGGAATGGCTCACTAAGTATCAGGCCACGCTCTTAGATACCCCTGAGATTATTACAAAAGCTTGCACTACTAACTCTGCTTCTTTGATGCCTGCAAGCCCAGAAGTTATCCACTCTTGTGTACAAGTCATCTCTCAGACATATGCAAATAGGCAGGACATCAGTGATCTGCCCCTCCAAGATCGTAAAGAGGTGTGGTTCACTGATGGAAATAGCTTTGTCCAAGAAGGACACTGAAAGGCAGGTTATGTCAGCTCGCAACAGGTCACTGAAGAGGTTCCTTCCTTCAGGAACTTCTGCTCTGAAGGTAGAGCTAATAGCTCTTACTTAAGCACTGATACTGGGAAAAGGCAGATGGTTAAACATCCATACAGACTCCAAATATGCCTTTCTTATACTACATGGCCATGCAGTCATCCGGAAGGAAAGAGGCTTACTGATAAATAAACAATCATCTATCAAGCACAGGCAGGAAATTCAGTAACTCCTAGAGGCAGTCCATCTTCCTAAGCAGGTTACAGTCATGCAAAGTAAAGCATACCAAAGAGACAGGTCTGAAGTCTCCTTGGGAAATCAAAAGGTTGATAGGGAAGCAAAAAAGGCAGCTCTACAATCCCATAAGAACAAGATAACCCAAAAGGAAAAAAGCTACTCCTGCGGGCCTCTGGAAGACTTGAGATTCCTCTTCAAAAAGCAAACACTAGTGCTGCTACAAGAAGCATGGAAATCTGACCTGCTCCTTACATTTGGGCTAATAATGGTCAATGGTTATTAACTTTTTTCTTGTTTCCTGACAGGTTTTTCTTTTTTCAACCCAGCCAGTGAGCCACAGTACCTCACAGTAGTTGGAGAACACATGATCCCCAGTAGATAGAGTCTATAGACCAGGTGGGGAAGTGACTGACATACATACATACAATCTGGCAAGTGTAAGATCTTATTTTTTAATTCTGAGAATTATGAATAACTAAATTCATTGAAAACTAAAAGTATTTTTCAAAAACAAGTTGAAATAGTTTTTAATGGTTAATGTACCATGGTTAATTTTATACATTTTCCCAAATGCTTACTATGAAATGATATCTGCTACTATCACACTCATGAGGTACATCTACCATACTTAGAAATACCAGGAAATCAATCTTTTACAGGTAACTGAAACATTCACTTTTTAACATTCACTTCTTAAAGGGTGGGATTAAGTCAACCTTGCGCATGTGAAGATTCCCCGACCATATAATTAAATTTAAAAAGAGGGTGGACCCCTCTATGTTGAATTACATAAAATAATGTTTATGACAAAAAGAAAATGAATAGAATTCTATGTTAAACTACAACAGCAACAGTATTCAAAGTTCTAGACATTAAAGTAAATGGAAATGTACTGTTTCTAGCAGTTACTTCTCAACATACAAAAGCAAAAGACAAACATTTTTCGATAATGTTTATGATAAGCATTCTGTGACTTATCAGCTTATAGTGTATTAAAGAGAAAATGTGTTGCTTAGAAGGAAACAGGATATTTTTAAGCTCCTCAGTTCTTATCTAGTACAGTTTAGCTGAAAACTAATAAGCAATCATCTATAGATGAACAAAAGTCTTTAAGTACATCAGAATGAAGTAATTCATAAGGAACTAACAATGTTAGCTGAGTTCATGCCTAACTATATTTAATTCTATATTATGAAATTTGCCACAAAAACCGTATTTAAAAATTTTATGAGGTTATAATGCTAAAATTCTACGTGAGCTACTATTTAATGGAATCTTCACATAAAATTTCTTTCTCCCAATTCTTTGTCTAATACATCAAACAAAAAATACTGCAATTTCATTATGCATATGCAACCTGCCAACATAAGTGCAGCTGAACTCCACACATATTTCCTAACAAATATTAAAACAATCTGGATGTAACAGCATTTCTAAGCTCTGTGTGACTGCCTGTTTTAGGAATGTCGGCAGTCTGATAATAGGTGTTATTTACTAACACAGTTCTAGCATTATTTTCATAAGATATGAATAATGTAGAAGAAATTAAAAATAAAGGATAATTTCTTAAAAGCTGTGTTACAGATCCTCAAGTAAAATTACATAAAGCTATTAAAAGACAGAAAGCCTGCTGGCATTAAATTAAAAATATATTTATGGTCAGACTATTTCTTACTACTTCCACTGCTGTACTTGGTCTGAGCCACCATAACCTTCCTTTTGGAGAACAGCAATCCTCTCTCTAGTAACTCTATTCAGTAAGGCCTCTTATAAATACCTCTATATGATACTTTGCAACATTTACCTCCTTCCCAATATTCTGACCTACATTTTCATATTCCACAATACCTAACTATTTTTTAACATACAATAAAATCTATTCACATATGTTGTCTGGTTTTCCTTAGCAGAGTCTAAATTCCATAGGGCAGCAATCTTTGTTTTGTTCTTTAATGTACTCTACACCCAGAACAGGATAGGTGATCAGAATTTGCAGAGTGAATAAATGTATGATTTAGTTTATGAAAAAAAAATGACCAGGTTTTACTGTAAACAGTTAATTATGTTTGAGAAACATTATGTCAAGAATATTCATAATTTACTTTTATTACACAGAGGTTACCATACCAGATAAAATAAGCAGTTCAATGATTTCTGCATCTCCAAGATAGGCAGCCGCATGTAATGGGGTTCTCTTTTCATTGTCCTATGGTAAGAAAGAAAGATGGAACATCAGTTTTAAAATAAGGTTAATTCAGGGGCTGGGGATTTAGCTCAGTGGTTTGGCGACCTGCTGTGCAAGTGCAAGGACCTGAGTTCAATCCCCCATACCAAAAAAACCCAAATAAACAAACCTAAAATAAGGTTAATTTTAATACAATTTAAATGAAAAATCATTTAACTATCAATTGATTATTTCTACAGTTCTAGTCTGGCCGGCAAGTCCCATTAATAAAATATAGGGTATTTCCTTGCTAAGAGAAGAAAGGCTGTAAACAAATTTTGGTCTTAAAACAGGGGTTGACCTTATTTATTTGGAATATCTGAAATACTAAAGGTGCTAAGTTCCAAAGTTTTTGAGGACATAATACCACAGTCGAAAATGCTACACAAAGAAGCTTTGTTTCATGCACAAAATTATTATAAACACTGCATAAAATGACCTCCATACTTTGTGTATAAGGCAGTGATAGCAAACCTTTTAGAGCTTTCAATAACAAACAGCTAGCTGCAGCATATGTGCCACAGACTTGTTAACACTGGTATACATGAAACATAAAAATATTTACACTTGGGTCCCACCCACAATATATCTCATTATGTATATGCAAATATTCCAAAATCTGAAATCTCCAGTCTCAAGCATTTTGGGTAAGAGATACTTAACCTGTACAAAGTGCACCAAAGAATAAAAATAAAACTCTAGGTGACAAAGAAATAGATTAAAACTTTCTTGGAATAATTGCTGATATATAGGGGCAAGTTTCTTTTACATACTGCTCTTTTCATTTTGCCAACATTATTTCCCCAATTTTATACAGTTTAGAACTGTTGACTTAGTTTTATAAAACAATCTTAACAAACCAAAAGATTTGCTTATCAAAATGCTTCCATGAGGGCCCGGGATTTAGCTCAGTGGTTTCGCCGCCTGCTGTGCAAGCACAAGGACCGTGTTTGATCCCCGGTACCAAAAAAAAAAAAAAAAGATAATAATAATAATTTGGGGCCAGGCATTTAGCCCAGTGGTTCTGCCGCCTGCCTCGCAAGAGCAAGGTCCCAAGTTTGATCTCCAGTACCAAAAAAAAAAAAATGCTTCCATGAGAGCACTCACAAGGGCACAAAGAGAAAAATGTCTCTGGGTATTTGAAATTATCCTTTAAAGCAACCTTAAGGTTTTTCTTAATGTTCCTGCCAGTTTAACTTTCATATCCAAGACATGTGAATGTTAAATAAAATACATATTCTTCTAAAACTTCCTCCAGGAAAGGAAGCTACATTTCATGTACAGATTCATGGACCTCCTCCCCTAAAACAGCACTCTCCACTTGGAGAAGAAAGGTTTTAAGGTAACAGCATTCAGGAATTTTTAACTAATACATCCCATCTAAGATTACAATGGGGTATTACTAAGTTGGGTGCATTTGAAAAACTATCCACTTAGAAATATTTATTTTGTAATTTACATCCAATGTTTTGGATGAAAGCTTTTCTGTCAATTTAGTAGCTGTCTTCTATGATGTTCCTCTCCTCTTTGTCTATAGGAATAAAGTTTAGCTAGTCACTTACCTTACAGCAAGACAGTATATTTCTAGCCTGCTGTAAAATTATGTTACTTACTTATATTTAGTGTGGACCAATGGTATGAGTAGAAGTCAATGGGTATAACTTCCAGGTCATACCCTAGACCTAGGTTAGTATTTTCCCACTTCCCACAGGATGGAAGGAAGACGTGAAATTGACTGTAGATGTGGGCCGAAAGACAAGAAGACTGCCAAGCAGCAAGACTGCAAATAATCTTGAACAGAGCTGCCCCACCAGCTTGGACCCACTGACATCCAGACTATTAAAGAGACATAATCTTATTAGAGCAGACATTTTATTTGGGTTCTTTTCACCATTTTAGAATATTATTACAGCTTTTAAGATTGAAGAAGATGAAAAACTTACTTTATTTTATAATAATTTTCTAGTTTGAGAGTCTTTCAATTATTCTAAGAAAAGCTAGTTGGGCTACTGAGAATAAATTAGGAAAAAAACCCTTCCGGCAGAAGAAGGCACACATTATCCCCACCCCAAAAAAGAGGGTTAGTTATCTATAGCAGTATCTAAAAGCATTACAAGGGAGGTTGATATAGTGGGATTAATGGTAAAGTGCTTGGTAAGCCGAGTTTTTGTCTCTCTTGAACTACAGTTAATTTTTACAAAGCCGTATTTTTCATTCCAACAGAATGAAACAGTTGTTTAAAAAAGCGAACACAGAAATATCCAGCTAACATTAAAATATCAAGGCTCTGCTCCCCTTCCCCCTTCATGAATTGAACCCAGAGCCCTTACTCTGAGTTATATCCCCGACTTCTTTTTATTTTGAAACAGGGTCTCACTAAGTCACTTAGTTGTTTTTTTGTTTTGTTTTCATTTTGGTTTTTTGATACAGGGTCTTGCTTTGTAGTTCAGGCTAGCGTTGAATTTACTATGCAGCCCAGGCAGGCCTCCAACTTTTGGTAATCCTCCTGCCTCTGCCCCCAAGTGCTGGGATTACAGGCATACACCACCACACCCAGCACTAAGTTACTTAGTTGCCTTGGCTGGCCTCTAACTCTTTTTTTTGGTACCGGGGATTGAACTCGGGTCTTTGCCCTTGCGCAGCAGGCAGCGTGGCCTCTTAACTCTTGATTCTCCTGCCTCAGCCTTCCACAGTTTATGGATTACAAACGTGCACTACTGAGCTTGGTGTAGTCATCTAAAAAAAACAAAAAAGGGATTTTCTGCCTTTGATTTTCAGTGTTACTCATTAACACAGCAAACTAATTTTCAAATTTTAGATTTTCTAAATTTGAGAAATGTATCTGTTGCGCAGGACAAACCACACACTGAGTATAACAGCATATAAAGTGAGTCATTTGTGTGTACGAGATGTCAGAATTCTATGATTCATAAACATACTTCTTGCTCTCAACAAATGAAGAAAGAGCAAACTGAAGAAATAAAGAGGAAACAGTTCACTTTCACAGAAAAACATTTAGAGGTCATACTTTACTAAACACTAAAAATCAGGCAATAAAATATTTAAGATTTCCTTTTGCAAAATGTATTGAAACAAAATGATCATTCCTTTATATGAAGTAATTGCGTTTCAAGGAAAAACAGTGATTCCTATATGTATGTAGAATATATTACACACACACACACACACACACACACACATAAACACTGTGGGAAGCAAAATGCTTGAAACAATTTAGGTGCCCCCCTCCGCTTACCTAAAATTATGGAACACAAAAAGGTCTAATTCAACTGTTATTTCACATGACTAATCAGTATTCTTGGTTTCCTGAGTAAAATAAATGATTTTGCCACACTGAGTATTTTGACAAGAAGTCAACCACTAACAAACCCACACATTTCTATACACACCAGGGGTATATGTTCATCCATGATAAGATGTACTTGTTATCACAACAGTTTGTGCTAATCATATGAATGTGGCTGAGAGGATTGAAACACTAAAGCAAATAGTAAAATCTTAGGGGTCTTGCCCCAAAAGTTTATTTTATTTTGACTGATGGTACAGGGTGTTGAACCCACAACTTTGACACATGCTAGGCAAGCTCTCTAATACTAAGCTGCACCCTGGGCCTTTTTAAAAATTGTAATTTCAAGACAGGGTCTCACTAAATTGCCTAGGCTAGACTCAAATTTGAGACCCTCCCTCCTCCACCTCCCAAACAGCTGGGATTACAGGTCTGCACTACCACATCCAGCTCTAAGATTATTCCTTAAGAGTTTATTTTTCTCAAATCATTTAAAGAAATTCACAATAGAAGGTACAGATAATGAATGCATTATGGACATGCTCTAAAAGAAGGAAGAAAGGCAATTCCAAATAATGGTCAACATGATGAATGAAAATGCCTCGGCTCAATTTTTTAATATTAGTACATGTTTGTAGAGCGTAATGTTCACATTCCTTGTGGAGAGTTGGTACATGTACATTACATAATACACCTTCATTCCTTTTTCATCCCTCTTCCTTGACCCCTCATCTCCTGATCTTCTTCCCTATTTTGGGTACCTGTTTGCAGTACGTAGGTTACATTCCTTGTGTGAAGTTAGTACACGTACAGAACACATATTGACTCCTTTTAAAATCCCATTTCCCTCCTCTCTCCCTCCATTTCTCAATCGCTTTCTCATTTGACAAAGATCTATTTCTCTACTTTCTATTATCTACCTTTTACTTTGGTCTTTATTTATACTTTGGGTTTTTCTTTTTTTTTAGAATATCTGAAATTTTTAATCCTTTCTTTACAGGTTACTAGATCTTTTTT